AGCACCAGGTCCTTGCCCTGCCTTCCAAACACTCTTGAGTTTAATGTAGGAAGCGTTCCATTTCGATGCTGCACACTCTAGTTCTGAGGTGAGGTTTCATGCAGTTGCTGCATACTCAATTCCGTATGTGAGTTAATATTCTTGTCTATAATTAAGATTTTTGATAAATAATTATACATAAAACCCAGTTCTGATTATTGGCTTGAGATGAATATTTATGTGCCTGTGGTAGTTTTGAGTTTTATTCATTCATTCCTTCATTTATTATGCACCTTATACCCATCCCGTGAGCGGTGGTGGAAAGAGTTAGATACCGTGAGATATCGATATATGAGTGAATAATAAATGACAAATAAATGTAATAAAAAAGCTACAACTGTGGATGAAATTCAATATAAAATCGTTTAGGAACTGCCCGATGAATTGCACCTACCACTGAACTTCAATTCAGAAAATCCTTAGACAAAGAAAAAGTTTTAAAAAATTGGAAATATGCAAATGCCACCTATATAAAAATATATGGAAAAATATATGCAATACGAAACTAAGGCCCAATCAGCCTAACCTCACATATCTGCAACCTCACGAAGAGAACTTAAGGGAACAAATCACTCACCATCTTGCAGTGAAAAGACTCACGTGAAAGTATCACAATATGGTTTTCTAAAACAATAAGTTACGCCCACGTTCCTGAACACTGCCTCCAACGACATACATAGGACGTGGTAGATGTGGCATGCATGAACTTTTTAGAGCTTTGAGTAACGTACTACACGAAAGATTGGCACAGAAACTACAAGCACAAGGAATAAACAGTAAAATACTTTAACTAATAAAATAATGGTTAAAATAAAGAATGATCAGGTCCTACTAAATTGAAAAGAAGCTGACTGGAAAATTTTGTTGATTTCTATACAGCAAAGTTCCATTGTTGAAATACGGAAAACCTTACATGAAGAACATAACAATACACATCATAATTACCATATCAACAACATAGCTATGCAACAGAGTGAAAGATAAAAGGACCTCGATATAATGATCCAATAGTCATTGAAAGTTGTTCAACAAGTAGGAGCTGCGGTAAAAAATTAACCCACACCTTAGGAATAATCAAACGAGCCTTATACTTCGAGGAAAACAGAATCGTTATTCAGGTGCACAAATCTCTGCATACGTTCCCATCTGGACTTTTGTATCCAAGCTCGGAGACCTCACCTTCAAGAGGAGATATCTCCACTGGAAAAAGTTTAGAGCAGAGCGACAAAAATAATTTCAAAGGTCATACCAGGAACAGCTGAGGGCCACATGCCAACATCATTACAAATCAGACATGACAGCTAAATTCATCGAGATCTTTAACATACTGCAGAAATTGGAATACAGTAATCCAGACCACTTATTTCAAAGTACCAATGTAACGCATTGAGATTACAAGGCTTAACAAGCCACAATGTAGGACAGACGACAGAGATGCTTTTTCACCCATGGAATCGCCTACCCGCTGAATTTGTACATGCCAAGACTCCAGCTAAAAAAAAAAAAAACCTCATGAATAATGGGAAGACCTTCGACAAGCCACCACTATGTTGTCCCCGTCGTGGCCATTAGAGATGCTGGCCCTTGTGTAAATTCAGGTAATCCGTGCAGAGCAATGTACATAGTGGCAGATAGTAAAGACTAGGCCTATAGTTTTAAATTCACCTGGATATATTTTGGATATCGCAATCGAATGTTTAATTAATAGTCTTTATAAGACTAGGAATTTCCATTCCATTCTACTCTTAATTTGGAAGTCGATTATTATTAGATCTTTTGGCTGGAATATATATTTCCTAATATGCAGTATGTGTTGAGTAAGTGTGTGATAAGGTGAGGCACTTTGGAGTGTGTAAGGCACCCACAGTGCACGTCTTACGTCCACCGGACTCCTGCTATTTATATAGAAAGTAGATGAGAAAAATACAAATGACGATGAATCATATCCACCAACCATATATTTTTTGTTTTGTCAGTGTTAACGCACCTATTAGGTGAGAATGTTATGAAAATTGGTTACAGGCCTGGCTCAATTATATCTCTTATTTATTTATTTATATATAAATAAATATATATATATTTATAAATAAATAAATATATATTCATTTATATATAAATAAATATATATCGTTTTTGCCCAAAACGCTATGCGTACTAGTGGCTTTAGGTAGTGTATGTACTACCTCTATCTTTAAGTCAAACAGAAAGTTTGTACTGTAACTCTGCAACTATGTATGTACTTTTCCTAAATAAATTATTATTATTATTATTATTATTATTATTATTATTATTATTATTATTAGTATATACAAAAGTTCTTACATTTTGTAGAGCCACTAGTACGTGTAGCGTTTCGGGCAAGTCATGAATCTTATGTTTCCCGGAATACGACCCCGCCAAATCGTTTAACAACCAGGTACCCATTTTACTGTTGGGTAAACAGAGGCTACAGTTAAGGATTGGCGCCCAGTCAATCCTCCCCGGCCAGGATACAATCCCAGGAAAATGCGCTCGCGAAACGCCAGGGCTGTCTTACCACTACACCTCGGGGACTGCATATATAATTTTATATCTTACTCATTTACTGTACATCTAAACTGCATGCGGAGAGTTGACCAACTGAGCTGACATATGTCTACATATGAATCCTCTAATAAAACGAGAATATTTATTACAAAAAAACTCAGCTATGCTGATAAACTATTTTAGTTACGCATACAAATTGTAGTTTTCTTTCTTATATTTAGAAAGCGTTTTCTGTATTAGTATATATTTAAGACAGGGAAAACGAATGTTTAATAATTAATTCATATAATAATTATTTTTGTTAGACAGGAAGCCTTTCTCTTGCGAGCGAGTGTGTGCGCGTATTTATTATTTGTCCGCAGAATCGAGCTATTAGCTCTTCGACCCCCGCCGTATCTACTACTTATATTTATCACACACACATGCCCAGGACACAGCCAGTAGCTGTGTCCTGGGCAGTAATTAACTCACAGATGAACTGTGAGTTAATTACTGCTAGATGAACAGGGGGAATTAAGGTGACCCATTTGTTTTCGACTCCGCCGGGAATTGAAACCGGACCATTAGGACTATGACCGGCCCCAAGCGCTGTCCACTCAGCATTCATTCATTCATTTAAATATAGGTCAAGATACCCTAATGGGTGAGCGTGGAAGTGGGGATAGGGGAAGAATTAGTGGGGGTGAGAGGAAGGGTTTTCAGTATGAGGTAAAGTGTCCACTCAGCCCCTTTACTCACCAAGTTATGCTTGCGGGGGGTTGAGCTCTGGCTTTTTGTTCCGTGTGTGTGTGTGTGTGTGTGTGTGTGTGTGTGTGTGTGTGTGTGTGTGTGTGTGTGTGTGTGTGTGTGTGTGTGTGTGTGTGTGTGTGTGTGTGTGTGTGTGTGTGTATACACCTAGTTGTGCTTGCGGGGGTTGAGCTCTGCTCTTTCGGCCCGCCTCTCAACTGTTACTAACTATCTTTTTTCTCCACGCACAGGAAGCAGCCCGTAGCAGCTGTCTAACTCCCAGGTACCTATTTACTGTTAGGTAACAGGCGCATCAGGGTTAAGGAAACTCTGTCCATCTGTCTCCGCCGCGTGCGGGGATCGAACCCCGGTCCCTAGGTCCACGAGTCGAGCGCTGTCCACTAGGCCACCCAGTGTGTGTGTGTGTGTGTGTGTGCTCACCTAGTTGTGCCTGGGGGGATGAGCTTTAGCTCTTTGGTTCCGCCTTTCAACTGATGGTTATCTTGAGATTATTTCGGGGCTTAGCGTCCCCGCTGCCCGGTCCTCGACCAGGCCACCTTTTTGTTACACACCCCCAGTAAGCAGCCCGTAACAGCTGTCTAACTCCCAGGTACCTATTTACTGTTAAGTAACTGGGACATCAAGGTGAAAGAAACTCTGTCCACTTGTTTTCGTCTCCACCGGGGATCGAACCCAGAACCTCAGGACTACGAATCTCAAACGCTGTCCTCTTAGCTGTCAGGCCCTCTTGTATGATGGACACATTCTTGAGCCTATTGGGCTCTATCAAATCTACATTTGAAACTGTGTATGGAGTTTGCCTCCACCACATGACTGCCTAATACATTACATTTGTTAACTACTCTGACACTGAAAAAATCTTTCTACTGTCTCTGGCTCATTTGGGCACTTAGTTTTCACCTGTGTCCCCTTGTTCGTGTTACACCCATGCTAAATAGTTTGTCTTTGTCCACCCTGTCAATTCCATTGAGAATTTTGTAGGTGGTGATCATGTTTCTCCTTACTCTTCTGTCTTCCAGGGACGTGAGGTTTAGCTTTCGTAACCTTTCCACGTAGCTCATACCTCTCAGTTCTGGGACCAGTTTGGTGGTATACCTCTGAATCTTCTCTAACTTTGTCTTGTGTTTAACTAGGTATGGACTCCAGGCTGGACCTGCATACTCCAGGATTGGTCTGACATAAGTGGTATACAAGGTTCTGAATAATTCATTACACAAGTTCATAAAGGCTGTGTATTTACTATTTGTATCTGCAGAATCGAACTATTAGCTCTTGAACCCCACCTTTCCAACCAATTTATTTTTCCTCTATTATGTCTACTACATATATTTCTCTCTAACACGCACACACATCCCCAGGAAGCAGCCTGTAGCAGCTGTCTAACTCCCAGGTACCTATTTACTGCTAGATGAACAGGCGCACCAGGGTGAAAGAAACTCTGCCCATTTGTTTCTACCTCTGCCGGGGATCGAACCCGGGCCCTTAGGACTACGACCCCAGAGCGTTGTCCACTCAGCCATGAAGCCCCTGTGTGTGTGTGTGTGTGTTTGTGTGCGTGTGTGTCAAAGATCAGCCAGTTTAGGAAAATATTCTATGGCTATCTTGTATAAACCTGATATAACTACTTGATACAGACCGGAATTTGGGGAAATAAAGATACTGTCAGTAGTAGGCGTGTTCTTTTATGATTATCACACATTCATCAATACAAACACGCCACAAGAAAAAGTGCAGCGACCCATGGAAGGCGACCCACGGCAGGCGATCCCCCACGGAAGGCAACCCAGGAAAGGCGATCCACGCCAGGCGACCCATGGAAGACGACCCACAGCACGTGACCCATGGAAGGTTACCCGCGGCAGGCGATCCAAGGCAGGTGACCCAAGGAAGGCGACCTACGGCAAGCGATCCGCGAAAGGGGACCCAGGGATGGCGACCCACGGCAGCGGTCCAGGGAAGGCGACCCAGGAAAAGCGACCCACGGCAGGCGACCCACAGTAGGCGACCCGGCCAGGGCAGTGGACCCAGGGAAGGGTGTCAACAGTTGGTGAAGAGTCTGTGTGTCTGACGGAGATGGTGTGAGCCAGACCTCTCATCTAGAAAGTCTGGCTGTGTTCGCAGCTGGTGCGGCGTTAACCTGTTGCGGATAGGTTTACATAAGAGGGTGAGAGTGAGAGGCTAGCTCTCTAGAAAATCAAAAAGAGACTATAATAGGAAACAACAGAGAATATGAACAAACAAACAGAGAATATAACAACACAAGACATAATGACCTTCATAACTAGCAAATTATAAGCTGAAGGAAGATTTATTTCACCTCGAAGAGATAAAAGAGCCAAGGTAAAAAAAAAATACCCCTGGTTTAACAGGCTTGCTAGGGGGGGGGGGAAGAAGTAAACGGGAATGGAAGAAAAAACGGGAGCATAGAATACAGTATATACATGAGTGAAATTAATACACGGTAATTCGCAACGTACTAGAGAAGCAGTATGATAATAACATAGCAACCAAGGCCAAGGATCAGCATAAACTGCTATATACCAACACGAGAAGGAAGATGTCAGTAAATGATCAAGTTATCATACAGGCTCTAGAAAAGAAAACGAGGAAGTGTGTGTGAAGAATATAATAAAACCTAGGAAATTTTCAAGCTGAAACCAGAGCTGCTCCTAGATCTACGATTTCAAAGGGAATAGACACCATCCTTTAATTTACTACTCTCAAAAATCCTTTGACTATGTTAATTACCACAAGTCTGAGCCATACTATCATCATATTATCTAGTATAATAATAACTTAACACTTACCATTAAGTTAGTAATAAGAAGCTTCTGAGCATTTTATGTTAATGTATGTCTATTCTGTTTGTCTATATGTCTTGGGTCTGGGAACCTAAAAGTTTCGATGGTGCTGTCACCTTACTTTCTTAGCTAATCAGAGGCGAATTTTATTGAATGGAAAATCCAAGATAAGATGACGATTTTCTTAGGGAACCAGGATTGGGTCATATTTATAAAGAAATTCATTCTATTCCCAGGAGTCTGGATAAGCAATTATATTGGATAGAGCTGCGTTGTTGAGAACGATTTTTTGTATGCGAGAAAGCCAGCAAATTTTGTTAAAACGTAGTAGAATACTCAGCTACTTGAAGACCTCTACATTTATATCGAGGACGGAAATGGAGCAGAGTTCCCATCTCAGAAAGCTGAGGCATTTTCTAGAAAGATGCTGGTAGAGATACTAAGTGATGGGATATGAGAGAATATACCGACCCAAGGATAAGAAAGCTATGTGGCACTCAGATAGAAACATTACTTTATAGCGTGAAGGTATTCTATTTGATAGTAGTTTGATCCAGGGTTATGGAAATTCGTTATAGGAAATGAAGGTGTAAGACATATTTGTGACGTTTTACTGCAACATTAATTAACGAGCACCATCTTAGGATATTCTTCTTATTGATGACAGACGTCACAATAGCACTAATAATTAATCTTTAATGATATAATATAATTAGGGACCTGTCTAAGAATTACTTCTATTACCTGTCCTAAGGAAATGATAAATAATCCTTTCGCTGTAACACATTTCTTCTCTTGTTTCTCCATAAGGAGTGGCCCAGAGCCCATGCCCACAGCAGACGCACACCTCAGCCACACTCTGAGGTGTGCCTCTAATCATGTTCACACACTGTCCTACTCTACCCCTTGTGGACGATATCCTTGAGGCGTGCCCCTGAGCCCCTGCCACACGTTGCGTTACGCTGCACACAGCAGACGATGTCCCTGAAGTTTGCCCCTAAACCTCTGCCCACACGCTGCGCTACTCTACTCCGTGCGGACGACGTACCTGAGGAAGGTGGAGGGGATGTCGTCCATGGTGGAGGTGCCGCCATAGCCAGGGTATTGGAAGGAAGACACGGCAGGTTGCAGGGAGGGGTAGAGGCCCTCCACATCGTCACGAGGAGCGGCTACGTTGTAGCTGTAGAAGGAAATAAACTTAACACTTATAAATCATTTACAGTTATTATTTAATTAACAACTGCATTATTTGAATGTTATTGGTTTATCTTGTCTTATTTCCTTATTAATTGAAATTGGTACACGGCATTATGCGTCTACCTTAATTTATATGATTCCTTGGTTTGGTTTGGTGTTGCTGTAAGGTGTGTTGCTTTTTATTAAAAAATTATTATTTTTTAATAAACACAGTGCAAGACATTACATTGAGATTAAGGCCTATCAACCTCTTAGTAAGAGGATTATTAAGGCAACACAATTGCTTGCTGACTAACCAGCAAGTATTTTAGTCCTGCCCAGTGGTGTATCAAGGGAGGGGTACCAATTGGGAAACGCGGCCGGGATTCGAACCCGAAATTCTCTAGATTCTGAGTTAAAAACGAACACCCCACTGTACTTCCGGGACCCTTAAAAGTATATGCACCAAGAAGTGAGACACCTTCCAGTGTATATACCGTGACCTTCCTACTTGTGCTTGCCACGGTGACTTACAAATGATTGCGTCAATTCTGACGTCACTGTATCTTACACCAGGGAGTGCTCTTTTTTAAGATATAGTTCAACCTTTCTCCCGCCGCCTAGCACAAAAATATTATTATATCCTCTCGATTCTACACACCACATATTCAACATGTAGCCTCATAGATAAATAATAATTACCACATTCAAGGAGTGTAGCATCATAGGTTCATGGTGCCATGGTGGTTCATAGCACCGAACCACCACTTAATAAGACCTAGAGATATTCGTGACTACATTATACTGTATAAACAAATGCATTCTCTCTTTTACAACAAAAAACTAATGTTTATCCTTCTAGATAGAGTTGAAACACTGAAGCAATGATATTGTTGTTGTTCTTTTAGATACAGCTACTCGGAACAAAAAGCTCCAAGTAGCACGGGGCTATGCTGAACCCTTTGATTTTTTATTGTTGCCGCCAGAGGCGGCTAGTTTATTATGCACCCCATTCTCATCCTTTAAGCAGTAGCGCAAAAAGGATTGCAGAGGGCACAAAGTCTTGATCGAACCTCAACGGAGATTATTATATTAACAATTTCATCTATCCTTCACACCTTATAATTATAATGTCAGATAGTTACAGAGAATATTCTAGTTCAATAGCTATATATTTACAATTAATCATTATACATTAATGGTAGGTCTTATCCGTAATGGACTTATCTGACACAGGAGCGGGGCTGTAACTGGCACTGAAGCAAACACAACAAATTATATACGTCAGGGGAATAACGTGAACACCGTATGTATTTCCTTATCATGTGATGGACAAATTTAGGTTGTCTTACTTTGTTCCAAGTTTAGTTATATATTACTAAAATATATAGTTTTAAAAACTATTTTCAAGTAAAAAGTAAAGTAAAGTAAAAGTAAAGTAAAAAAAAAAGTAAAAAACAAAAAATTATTCCAGCTGTCTATAAGTAAATTGGAATTGCATCGTAAAGCGTGGAAATGTTTGTTTAATTTGTCCTTGAAATTTTGCAATGATGTTTTTGTCATTAGTGTTATTTCTATTATATTTCTATTATTATTTCTATTATTTGTTTTCATTGTTATTTATATTATTTGTTTTCATTATTATTTATATTATTTGTTTTATTGTTATTTATATTATTTGTTTTCATTGTTATTTATATTACTTCTATCAGTTACTATTATTGGCGTAGTTGATTCTGCTGTTGTCATTCGCTACCATTGTCTTACAGCTCTGAATACTGCATTGTCTTCGGAAGCCATTAAGGTTTTATTCTAATCTGTACAAAGATCATAGCAATAACTTGCAGCTTAGTGTAGAAATGAGTACAGAGGCGCAGGTCACGCCACGCACAGACTTTACGCCAAACTTTCAAGCAATCAAAAACTATTTGAACACAAAAAGGGTACAAAAGATCATTAATGAATTTACTATAATTAAATAAAAATGCTGCCATTTGTCAACTAGGCCTTCCTGTCGTCTGCTAGCGTAGGAATGAAGTAAAAGTACAAACTTTTGAAAACAAGTATGAAACGTCATCTATAACGGGAGGTTAGGAAATGGGGTTTCGTACTTAAACCTTCATCGTTATAAACTCAACGCAATAAAGATCGTTATTCACCTGTTGGCGTAGACGGAGTAAAAGGACCTGTCCTCGGCAGGGGGAAGGTGTGGAGAGGAGTTAGCGGTGAAGCCCGAGGTCCTGCAGGAGCGTCCTACTGTTACGCGCTCGTCCACGGCCGCCTGGTCCCTCATCACCCACTGGTACATCAACCGCTCCGACCTGCCACCAGGGAAGACATGGAGGGAGACTTGTAATCATGGGGGCTGTTCTTATCTCCTTGTGTTTGCGGGGATCTATGCACTCACAAATATTACAATGACAAGTTTCAACTTCTACTCAAACTCAAATTGAAAGTCCCGTTGCCAATAGGCTAAGTTGCCTAAAAACAGTTTTTCTGAAATTATCTTTTTCTATTTTTGTTTCTTGTGGAATGATGTATCATTATATTATATTATATTATATTATATTTAATAATATAATATATATATATATATATATATATATATATATGTCGTACCTAGTAGCCAGAACGCACTTCTCTGCCTACTATGCAAGGCCCGATTTGCCTAATAAGCCAAGTTTTCCTGAATTAATATATTTTCTCTATTTTTTTTCTTATCAAATGATAAAGCTACCCATTTCATTACGTATGAGGTCAATTTTTTCTTATTGGAGTTAAAATTAACGTAGATATATGGCCGAACCTAACCAACCCTACCTAACCTAACCTAACCTATCTTTATAGGTTAGGTTAGGTTAGGTAGCCGAAAAAGTTAGGTTAGGTTAGGTTAGGTAGTCGAAAAACAATTAATTCATGAAAACTTGGCTTAATAGGCAAATCGGACCTTGCATAGTAGGACGAGAAGTGCCTTCTGGCTACTAGGTAAGTAGTAGCCAGAACTACTATATATAAATATATATATATATATATATATATATATATATATATATGTCGTACCTAGTAGCCAGAACTCACTTCTGAGCCTACTATGCAAGGCCCGATTTGCCTAATAAGCCAAGTTTTCATGAATTAATTGCTTTTCGACTACCTAACCTACCTAACCTAACATCCCCTAACTTTTTCGGCTACCTAACCTAACCTAACCTATAAAGATAGGTTAGGTTAGGTTAGGTAAGGTTGGTTAGGTTCGGTCATATATCTACGTTAATTTTAACTCCAATAAAAAAAAATTGACCTCTTACATAATGAAATGGGTTGCTTTATCATTTCATAAGAAAAAAATTAGAGAAAATATATTAGTTCATGAAAACTTGGCTTATTAGGCAAATCGGGCCTTGCATTGTAGGCTGAAAAGTGAGTTCTGGCTACTAGGTACGACATATATATATATATATATATATATATATATATATATATATATATATATATATATGTCGTACCTAGTAGCCAGAACGCACCTCTCAGCCTACTATGCAAGGCCCGATTTGCCTAATAAGCCAAGTTTTCATGAATTAATTGCTTTTCGACTACCTAACCTAACCTTACTTTTTCGGCTACCTAACCTAACCTAACCTATGAAGATAGGTTAGGTTAGGTTAGGTAAGGTTGGTTAGGTTCGGTCATATTTCTTCGTTAATTTTAACTACAATAAAAATAAATTGACCTCATACATAATGAAATGGGTAGCTTTATCATTTCATTAGAAAAAAATTAGAGAAAATATATTACTTCAGGAAAACTTGGCTTATTAGGCAAATTGGGCCTTGCATAGTAGGCTGAGAAGTGAGTTCTGGCTACTAGGTACGACATATATATATATATATATATATATATATATATATATATATATATATATATATATATATATATATATACACATTATATCATATACGAATATAATTGTATTTATAATTGTACGAATTAGTCCAGTCAGTTGAATGATTACAATCACCTAAGTGAAGAAACAAGACACTGGACTCTTGACCTGTTCTTATACAATACTATATTTGTGCTCTTGTATTCTCTAGTTAAGATGTTCACCTGATTGGCCAACATAGAACTTATTAAATTATTTATATGGAATTTTATGCACACAACCATTGCAACTATTTGGGGAATTTTTTGTTTTTATACAAAGATTGTAGTTGCAAGGTTATGGGTAATTCTACTTGACGTGTTATCACATATTCACTAATTAATTAGTCGTTAAGTGTATGGAGGAGTGTGCTAAGCTCCTAGTGATTTCATTAAGTATGTTTTATACACGTTGCCTTGTATTTTTCATAGTGCCTTGCTGGTTCATTAAATTACTATGACCTTGTTCAGTACTCCAGGTTCTACGGGGGTTTATTCTTGATATTATGTGTTTGTGTTTATTAGTTTTATTATACAGACGGCACGGAGTCCGTTATTTAAATTAAATCCTTATATATGTACTGGAGTTCTGTTTAATGTGAGCCTTACTCTAGCCATAACAAAAATATTAGGAAACCAACCCAAACATCTCGCCTTGTCCTGGGTTTTAATTCAGGACTAATCGATTGCGAACTGACTGCACTATCTACTGCACTGCAGGCCAGCTATGCCTATATATCGCCTAGGCCCATGCACTCACATTCCTCACTTAAGACCAGCCATTATATTCTTAATATAGACCGTAGAAACAAAATGAAATATGTGCCATTAACTTTTAAAACCTATGATACTCTGGAAAGAAACATCTGTTAAACTGTGGATATAATATCTCGAAATCGCCTTTAATATAAATTTAATGACTGCTGAGAAACTTCCTGGTTTGCCCGGCGCTCAAAGCTTGCCCGAGAGGCCAATACAAGGACAGGAACGATAGCGAGTACTTACGGTATCTTGTTGAGGGGATCACAAAGGTTGAGGTACTCCATGGGGTCCGTCCGTCGTAGCCGCTCCACCACGGGCGCCGGGGTGCTCCAGCGGTCACTCTGTGGGTGGAGCAACGCCCGCCCCACTTGGCCGCCCTTCTTGACGTAGCCGCCCACTTGGCCGGCGGGCACGGTATCCCGCGCCACCCACCCCACGCCCTCAAACTACCGAACGATATCATCATAAATATTTCAAAAATGATCAATTTTCATTATATCATTGTATAGACATGACGACATGCACAGGTGATGATGAAGACAACTGTATGCACCGTCCACCCACCTGTTCGTAGAGTTCTCGCCCCCTCGCCCTGCCTGTGGTGAGGCCAGGCTCCTGACCTGGGGTGCTGTAGGCGCCACCAGAGTAATCAGGGTAGTTGTGGCGGTACATGGAGGTGTAGTCTGGAAGGGTGGAGGCTGCAAGAGGCACTCCCAGCCAGTCTACTTCAGCCACCTCCTCCACCGCCTCCTGCTGGGGTCTCACCTCATGTACGGTGTTCTTCCTCAGGCTCTCCACCACCACCTGCGTCTCCTGGTGGGGTTTAGTTGTGATGTTTTCATCGACAAAGCGGACTCCGGGAAAGTCTAATGCAGCTGCTGGTTTTTCTTTTCCTGCAGGAGGCATTAGGCCGAGCACCAACGGGTCCCGCGCGCCAGCCCTGACGGCGCCGTCTTCTCCCGCGTCCTCCGCCATGTTGCGCTCCTCCCAGGCACCACAACTATAAATATGGACGCTCTAGAACTTCGCGTTATGAACAAAATAATAAAAACAAAATTGTTTTTACAATTGAAAAAATATATATGTTTAAAGTCTGATCATAAAACAGAATTACATTTCAACTAAATCCAATTACAGGAATAAATGAATGTATGTTGTTGATAGCGGGACGACGACGGTCAAGGGATCATACGCGACCGAAATGAATGTACTTGTGTATTTATGTATGAAGATCTGATAACAATTTTGATTTACACTATACTGCCATGCGAGAATGACCAAATATCAATAGATTAGCCTATAAAATCAATAGATTTTGAAATATTATTAATGTTCAACTTAGACTCGGTAATATGTATCTTTGGGATTTGGCATTATCAGCAGATCTAGATCTAATTAAAGGTAACTGTGACAGCCAAATTATTTGCATGCCTTGCATCATTATGTATGGAATTGTAAATTAAAATTGAATTTATAGATAATTCTATCATAAATCTTCACCAAATATGCATGTATTTTATTCAAAATTATCTACTGCCAGAAAATGTAGCAAGTAATACCCAGTTTGCTAACTGTAGGTAGTACATCCAGATAATATGATGTAACCTTTCCATCGCCGTTAACTGTATGACTGTGGGGGTGCATGAGAGGCAAATTGAAATTGTACGTAACTGTAATCGGATTACCCAATAGGCCAAGTAGGGCACGGCCTAGGGACCCCCCTATCAGCATCAGGGGGTGCCCCACCAGCACCATGGGGGGGGCCACCAACACCAGGGGGGCCACCAATACCAGGGGGGGTTTGGCACCAGCACCAGGGGTGCTCACCAACACCATGGGGGCCCACCAACACCAGGGGGGCCCACCAACACCCGGGGGGCCCCACCAACACCAGAGGGGTGTACCTATCACCACCAGGGGTGCCCACCAGCACCATGGGGGAGGCCACCAACACCAGGGGGGAGGGGCACCAATACGAGGGGGGTTTGGCACCAACACCAGGGGTGCTCACCAACACCATGGGGACCAACCAACATTAGGGGGGGGGCCACCAACACCAGGGGGGCCCCACCAACGCCAGAGGGGTGTACCCATCACCACCAGGGGGGCCCACCAGCAAGAAAGGGGCCCACCAACACCAGCACCAAGAGGTCCACCAGCACTTTTTCTGTGCTTATGTAAGTATTGACATACGACCTCAATGCAATCTGCAAAGTTATGCATAATATAACTTTGGTAATTACAGTGTAACTTGCTTAGCTGAAACGAATTTTAGGGTTCATTTCCACAACCCAAAAATATGCACTTCTGTAACATTTTCGACTGCAGCTCACAGGATGGGCGTCGGGTGCGAAGTGAGCTAAATTGTAAATGAATGAATAACGTCACAAATATAGAGGTAACAATTTAAAACTTCCAATGTAAACATTGAACAACACAAAATTGGAATTATGATAATATTGGTCTACGAAATAGGGTGAGTCCCAGTTACATGACTCCTGTTGTATAGCTAGGTGATGGTTCTTGTGAGTGATGGTTAGTGTGGGTGGTGGTTGGTGTGAGTGATGCTTAGTGTGGGTGGTGGTTGGTGTGGGGTGGTGTGGATTGTGGTTGTTGTGAGTGATGGTTGCATGGTACAATGGTTATTTTGGTGTGGTCCCGGTAGTACAGTCGGGTTCGTTCTGTACTAGAAAACTCTAGTACAGTAGAAATAATAGAAAACTCCGTGTTCGAATCCCTGGCGGGACGGAAATGGTTGGGCACATTTCCTTTCTCCTAATGGGCTGTTCACCTAGCAGTAAATAGGTTCTCAGGTCAGCTTGTTGTGGGGTTGCATACTGGGCGGGGTCACTAATTCAACCCTGGGGGTGGGGGTACCTTGATATAAGCCTAACGTGTATGAATACATCTGGCTTCCTGTCCCCGGCATTGGTGATGGTTGGATATATATGTATATATATAACAATAATAATTAATTTTGTTTTGTTGAGGACAGGAAACCTATGTATAATATACTTAAATAACACGCATAGCCTATTTACCCGCAACGCTGCGTGTTAGTGGCTTTGTAAGACCTTAAGACCTTTGTAAGACCTTTGTAATTCAGTTTCTTTCTTTATTATGCACCCCATACCCATCCCGTGGGCGGTGGTGGAAAGGGTTACAGAGGCACATAATGGGAGACTTTCCATAGTTCGTTTAGCCAAGCAAGTGACAATCTTTTGAAGCTAGTTGCACAATTGTTAATGTTATATATACATGTACATATATATACAATCATTTACACAAATTCATACACATTGATAATCTTTTGTATCACAAGTAATTCAACAAGAGGCTCACAACAGTCACTATACTAGGCATTCTACATCTATGGTGAGTCACACAGTTAATAGTTTTGCTCCACACCCACCCAACTGGGCGGCAGCTTTACAGTCATGTGCATGCATTACCAACAGTAAGCAAATTTTGGATACTTCGCTAAGATTCCTGGCAGTATATCATCATGAATGAAGTACTTACACATTTCTTGGACTCCATTGATAGTGCTATCTCTGAATTCCGCGATTTTTTTCACATTCCATTATATAATGAAACAAAGTATGCGAATAGTTCTGCAAACAGAGTTTACATTTAGTCAAATCTACATGACCAGATGTTACAAATTCCCAGAGGTACTTGTAGCCGAGCCTAAGCCTAGCAGTGGTAACATTTAGAAGTCTGCTAACCTCATTGGATGACCCATAGACATGCGGTTCTTCCTGCATAATAGAATGATGATAGATGGAGGAACTGGTGTGAATTTCACTTTGGCTCAAGTCTACGAGATTTTGTTGATGTTCCGGGAACATTACTGCCCGCAGACTGCTCAAAGGCAGTCCAAGAAGGTAATCAATTCCCTCTTTACGAGCAAAAGTCTTGGCCAACTCATCAGTTCTATCATGCATTCGGAGACCAATATAGGAAGGAATCCACAGGAGACAAACTCTGACTCCATTGATTATTTCACCGTATTTGTGTCTAGCTTCGGAGACAAGCACGTTACAGTTATGCCTTGGGGAGCTGAGGGCAGTCAATGATAACAAGAAGTCACTTACAATTAGCGTGTCAACTTTGGATTCAAATACGCGCTCGAGTGCAAGGATTATGGCAACCAATTCTGTTTGAAGAGTGGAGGCCCAGTTACTTAGACGCGCTCCACACTCATGGGAGCAGGAACCATCTCTCTCTGTCACAACAACTGCACTTCCAGCTGCACCATGGGACTGATGCAAAGAGCCATCAGTGTAAATAATTTGGGAAAGGGAGCGTTCTCTGACCAATGCATCAATTTGGCTTAAGTCATTGTACTTTGCTTCTTGTCGAAGCAAGGCCTGTTCCTTAATAATCAGGTTCTTGGGTGGGAAAGGGGGAACAGTAATTTGGAAAAGGGTGATCTCCCATGGAGCAGGAAAGTGTTGTTGTTGTCTTTCTTGTTAGAGGTGATGATGAATATTATACATTCTGAGAACAGTGGCGGTTTTGGTAATCCATTTGAAGGGATGCTGACCTTCAAGGAAGAAGGCTTGGAGGGCTTCAGTGCAGGGGTTAGGGTGGGTTAGCCTAAGCATCTTGATACCAATTAAAGCATTAATTTCAGTAATACGATCACTTACACATGAAATATTCAGTTCCTTCCTGATGTTTAGTAATTTAGTTGTACGGGAGCATCCGAGGATAATCCTCATGGCTTCGTTCTGCATGTTTTCCAGTCCTCCAAGCATTCTCTGAGGCACTAGAGCAAACATGGGTGCAGCATAATCGGTCAGAGATCTCATATATGAGAGGTACATCATTTTGCCAATTCTCACATTTGCACCATAGCTTGGATGGTAACCTGCCACAGTCTTGAGAGCACGGAGCCTCTCTCTACATTGGCGACCCAATCTGGCTACAACATTGCGGTACAGTGGAACCTCAAGACCAAGGTATTTGTATCTGGTTACATAGTCGAGCAGAGAGCCATCATGCAACTGCACCTTGCGAACAGCCCCACCCCGTCTGGGTGGGCGTCGGTTCAGGATCTTTGTTTTCTCTACTGAGATGACTAAGCCTAGTCATCTCAGACTTGGAACAGTACAGATGACATCCTGTTGGATAGATAGCCTCTTATCCACCGTAGAAGCCATCCTCCAACATTCATTTTAGCAAGTTCGCTCAGAATGACGTGTGGGTTAGCAATGTCAAAGGTTGACTTAAGATCTAGGAAAGTGGTATATGACCTATCAGTATGCAGGGTGAGGAATGTGGTAATACAGTGATGAACACTCTTTCCAACTGGTGAGGGAGATTGGGCGAAAAGCACTCTGCTGGTTAGGTTTAGGAATGGGAATAATAAGACTGTTGGTCCATGACTTTGGAAGCTCCCCAGTTACATAGCTCATATTGTACAATTCAAGCAAGGGATTCCCTGGAACTAGCAGAAGCATACGCAGTATGCCGTAAGTAACTCCATCCTCCCCGGGTGATGTAGCTTTGCCTTTATGTAGAGCAGAGTCTAGTTCGTATTCAGTAAGAAACATGCCACAGTCATCCTCTTGATGAAGCATGAAGTCAAGGAGCCTTGCTTTATCAGCATATCTATTATTTAATTAATTTTGTGTAAGTAGAGGAGGACTGTCAAAGCTGGAAGTTGTGGCCCAAGCATCAACAAGCTCATCTGCTCTGTGCAGAGGATTAAGGTGCGCAATCTCTGCAGCATTTTTCCCTTTGATCTTGTTGATGTCCTTCCATGCCCGACTTAGTGGCGTGTGAGAATTGAGACCACTGACAAAAGTTTCCCACTTTGCCTCAGCTGTACCATACGTTCCCAGGCCTCAGCCAGAGCTGTTTGAAAGAGCCTAAGCATTTCAGCAGTGTGGGTCCTTCTATAAGCTAATCCAAATCATCTGGCAGTGCATTTAAGTGCATGCAATTTAGAATCATTATAATAAGCATAATTGCTATGACCAGTGTAATTTGGGTTACGTGGCCTGGACGATGGATCAAGTGATTCTATAAACTGCTCGGTGGTACCTGTGAGCTCATTGTTAAAATCTTCAACTGATGAAGGCTCAGATGAGCTGTACCATTTTGTTGCACATGAGCAACAAAATTGTCTCGTTGATCGATGGGCACAGCCAGCCTCTTCCGCTTGAGCACTCCGCCGGGGAGAATAGAGCTTCCAATGCTGACAGTGGCTAATATGGCCAGATGATCAGACGCCATATCTGGCACTATTGACGAGGCGCACACGGTGTGGGAGACCTTAACACCGAGACATAGATCAAGAATACCTCCATAGATATGCGTCTGTTCAAGGTCAACCACAACCTGTGCATCATCGTGACTACCTAATAGTGACAACAGTTGGTTGCCGTTACCATTACAGAACTGCGAATTGCCAATATTCCTATGTCTAGCGTTATAATCACCTATAATGATGGTAGGCTCAGTCTTAATGCAGATAGGATGGTCAGTATAATTAAACTTATCACTAGGAGCATACAAGTTAAAGATATTGAGGGCAGAGTTCCCCACGTAGATCCTCACATCATGATACTGAAAACCCTTCGGTTGACTTGGCTAGGAGTGGCTGGTGAGGAAGGGACTTCTTAACATACAAAACACAAGAGTGACTGGATTTAAGGTTATAGACAACAAAGGAGGGTAATTTAGGGGGAGGAGACCTGGTGGGAACTCTGCACTCCCAAAGGCAGACGACATCAATGGGCTCGGTCGTCACTTTGTGGTGGAGATCAGGAAGTCTTTTCCTGAGTGATGCCATGTTCCAACTGAGGATACGAAGCATCGTTGTATTGGGGGAGTTTGTGGAGGGATTCATAGTTGATATTTAATACATTAGTCCACAAGAGCATATATGTGTTTTTATAATCTAGGGAGCTCCTTGCTTTGTTTGATATCACTCCTGGTATCCCTCTTAGTTCCGTGATGCAGCTGGCTGCAAGGCAGTACAGCTGCAATACAGTCTCTCGTTTCTTTATCTATAACAATGTTGTTGATGAACTCTCTAACATCTGTTTGTAAACTTTTTGGAACACTGTTTTTAATAGGCTTTCAAGTTCCGTAGGTCCTAGCTGTGATATATCCAACACACTAGCTAGACGAGTGGTGGTATTTAAGTCACCAGGTGTCTTAGCCTCGCCCACTACATTGCTCTCAGTCCTGGCTGGTAACTGTGGGTTACTGTCCAGGTCACTATACTCACTAGAATGCCAATGTTATGTTATCTCACAAACCCAATGTACCCTCTTGAATATAAATCAATAAAAAAATAACATTAAGGCTTGTATCAATATTCCCCAAGGTCGAACTATTGACCCTTCCCAGGATACAACTCCAACAGTTGTGTATGATGTTGTTGTTGTTTTATATTTAGCTACTCAGAACGAAATGTTCATGTAGCACGGGCTATAGTGAGCACGCAATTCAGCTCGGTTATTCACGATACTGTGATATTTATAGGCAGTTGTCTAATTCCTGGGTACATATATACTGCTTGGTGAACAGCAGCTTTAGGTGAAAGGAAACTTGTCCACCCATTATCGAGAACAAAACCATTCGCAGCTATTCTATCCGTTATGAAAGTTAGAATCAACTAACAATAACATGAGAAAGTTTCTCCAAAGTATTTTTTGTTTATACAAGAGTTGTTACATACACGATTTTTTTTTATTCAAGTGTGTGTGTGTGTTTCCGTTTTTAGAGATGTTTCTTTTTTTTTGAGATATATACAAGAGTTGTTACATTCTTGTACAGCCACTAGTACGCGTAGCGTTTCGGGCAAGTCCTTAATCCTATGGTCCCTGGAATACGATCCCCTGCCGCGAAGAATCGTTTTTTCATCCAAGTACACATTTTACTGTTGCGTTAAACAGAGGCTACAGTTAAGGAATTGCGCCCAGTAAATCCTCCCCGGCCAGGATACGAACCTATGACATAGCGCTCGTGGAACGCCAGGCGAGTGTCTTACCACTACACCACGGAGACTGCATGTTTATCTCGCCATAATTAAGCATCTATGTAGCAGTTACGCAACTGTTATGGGTTGTATTCTGGAAGAGGTCAGTTGCTGGCCAATGGGGGCCTCGATAGGCGACAATGGGGAACAGAAAACTAAAGATAAGTTTCTCACAGCGACTGTGTCTTGGCTCCGTACTTGGTACTTGGCTCCGGCGGCGTTCTCGGTCGTCATGGCAACCACTCAACACCACACCAATACAACAATAAATTATTTGTTTAAATGATGCGAAATATTATATATTGCGGCTAGAATCGTAAATTAGTGCAAATTTATAGAGAAAAAGTAAGAGCATGCATATGAATCATCAACGATACCTATTCTAAACTTATTTTTCCCTCTGATGTTGCTAGACAAGTCAGCACCGAACATATTGCACAGTGCTATTAATTCTTTGTAGCACAAATATTCAATTATTAAGTGTTAATAAAAACTATATTTGCTTGAGTTCAGTTTGCTTGAACATATTGTTTTGTGAAGTCTTTCTTTCAAATAGAGTTGAAGTAAATAACAATTTGTATTATTGGAACCGTCAGCTGTGTTGATAGATGCACGTGTGAGGTGGTGAAGGAGACTCACAGCACTCTGCCCTCACCGTAGAGAAGACTACCTTAGTATTCACCTGTTTACCTTCTTTCACATTGTACGTATATCAGTAGCCAAGTTACATATGCAGAAATAGCTGAAATACCAGTTTAAATACATGAATGTTGGGCACGACATTTCTCTTTTTATCTGGATTATTTTTTCACATACAACTTTTTCTGGACAATATGGATTGATCCATATTGCCTATTCAGTGAAATAAGCAAGTCTAGTGGGTAGTTTGTAGTAACAGCTCCCTAATGCTGCACTCTGCATCACCCTGCAAGATGTGCCGGTTGCTGTGGTCCAAGTTGGTAGTGGTCTCAAGTTTTTCAAAGGTGGTTAAAGAAATTTAGTCACTTAACGAAATTAATGTTATGGTATTATCCAGCACTCTGTCAAAGCTGTTAGTAAATGATTTCAATAGCGGATCATATAGGATGGAATGGTCAGGTCTAATTAGACTTAACCTAACTTTTATGTATTTTTAGCTAAAAATGTATTCTAAATTATGGCATGATCATGTATGTAAATAGGCTGGGTGTTTATTATTTGCTACCATCTGGTGGCAATATTGTACATCACAGTTAAGGTATTTAAACATCAGCTATGACTGTTTGCCTTGTTTACCTAGTTGCTTGCATGGTTGCACCTGTGCTTTTTGATGCAATTTTCTGAGTTTTGTGATTGATCTGATCTTCCCTGCTACTCTTGTCTCATAAAGCATGCCACATTCTGGTTCTTCTTGCTGGTAGTCAATGGAAGGGTCTTGGAGGCCTGTTGTGTTGGGCTAAGCCTTGATGGTGCCTGAGTTAAGTTCAGAGAGCTGCTTGGGCACTCGCCAAAAAATTACATTTCATTACTTTCAGGGCTTGATTTTATTTAATATCATCAATGGTGTCATTGTAGCTAAGTAATAATAAAATAAATAAATTTCACAAAATTAAATGTTGGTTTATTATTGATTAGATTTTAAATTCTTAACTGTATTGACACTGAGTGATTTACTCATATAAATATAGTATGGTAATGTATTGTAACAGTATTTTATTTAGTCGTACAGTATTAGCCAGTTTTTGCATCTATGCTACACTTGTGCAGGAATGGTTGCATCTTGTCCTTGAATCACAAAGTGCTCATCTGTCTATTCAACTTGTCTTCTTACAAGTTACGTCTGAATTTGGCCATTTGTCTGTATGGCCAAAAATGGATGTACAGTAATTTTAAAAAGGAAACCAATTGAAAATAAATTTTGATTTTGTTTTTTTTTCAAAAACAGCAAGTAAAGGGTCCTCTGGTAGGTTAGAAGGGCAGGAAATTCTCCTAAGGTTTCAAAATGTCATGAAAACCGTTAATTGAATGTTTCCTCGCCTAACCTAACCGAATAAGTCAGAGGACTCTCACAGAAAACGGGATAGCACATCACTTTCGTGAGCTGATTTCATTTCAAATTACTGTACGTCCATTTTTGGTCATAGTGCGCATACTAGTGAAAAGCGACGTTATTTTTAAGAGGACGGGTTGGTCTGTTGACACTTGGGTGGAGGGGGGGGATTAGTAGCTGAAGCACATACTGCAAGTGTATCATCAAAGCCCCATATACAGGACTGTAGTAATGTTCAGTTCTGTTGCAGATTCTTATACGTAATCAGTGATTTTGGAGATAAAAGAAATGGAAGAGGGTGAAGAGCGTGTGAGCTTCATCACCTGTGCAGCCTGGGTGCCAAGGGGGACTGCAAAATCTAATCCAGAAAAGGTAGGTTGGTAATCACTTTATACAAGTACTATACAGTATATTTTTTCAGGTTGACTGCACATTGCTTGACAACTTAGTGACTATAATTTATACTGTATTAAATTCACAATGTTTACCTTGTATTTTAATAGATGTTTCTTCGTAAATGGTCATCCTGTTAATCTTGCATTTTATCTCAATTATTGTAAATTGTTTGAAAAATCACCATATAAAATGTGTACAGTAATTGGAAATTAAAAGTACAATAAACTAAATTGCCTTCAGATTGCCTTCCCATAATCCTGTCTAAAGTGAGGAGTCTCAGATTCCCTTCCCTGTCCCTGCATATAGTATCTCTTTTAGCTTTTCTGAGTTAAGTCCTTAGTGCAGTCTACATTTGAAGGCTATTAAATGTAATTACAGACGGTCTATCACTTTATTCGATTTCTACAGAATGGGTGATGAACAGGATCTTTCCTGTGGTTATGCACAACGTTTGGGAAGCCACAGGTAGATCTGTTCACTTCAGCATGAAATCATCAGTATCTAGTGTATCCCATTTTTGGACAGCTAAGCAGTCTTGGTGGATGCTTTTCATCTGAACTAATATTGATTGGAGTTTACTTACCTTTTTTCCTTGGATTAAGGTTGAGCTGTCCTCCAAGTTGGAATTCTTTATGGGTCAGGTCATGCTCTGTTGTGTCCAACTCAATAATAATTTTCTTATCTTCTCGTGTGTTACTTCCATTGGGTACCTTCTCCAGCTTCCTGTTTGTCAGCAGATCTGTTACCAGATGTTTTGGTTGCAAATCTACATGTTTGAAGATTTTAACACTTGTACTGTATAATCATTTGCCAAAACCCTTTGCATAACAGTGGTTTCAATAGCATGTGTAACTCCTGTCGCTGCAATTGTACATTCCTCTTATGTTCATTGTATATGCATTCTTTTGAATAAAAATTATTATAATTATTATTATTATTTGTATGGAGTCGGTTATCGAGGTCCAGCTGAAAAACATTGTGAAGATTGAGGCAGAGACCCTTATCAATTGCCTACAGACGCAGAAAGCCTCGCAAACAACAGACTCAAGATATCATTTGCACTGTTCGTCCCATCGACAGTATGAAGTGGCTTAGTACTTTTCATCAGTTTTTGGCCCTCCGTCATGTTTCGGTTGCTGTTTTGAAGTTTTTCTTGAATTAGCTCTTCCTAGATCGCCATCTCATACCATTACATTTACCTCCTACTAATTGACTTTGACAAAGTTTCTCTTCCTTGCTTTTCAGATATTTATTTTCAGAATCTTTTATTAAGTTGAAAAGCACTTTTGTTTAACTCCTTCCCACTCATTATCCTCCTAAACCATTCTGGTCTTTGGACAGGGTACTGGATTTCTTGTTTTGTATGAGAATTTATGTACCCCCATCAGCATCAAATGTTATGTTTAAGGATGCAATTTTATTATGGGGCTTATTGTTCTTTTATTTATGGGAGTCAGTTCTTCGACTGCAGACCATCACCCCTTTCTTGCCAAGAACGAGTCTACATTACTTCATATCTGAGTAATCTGTTGGTGATTGAGGCCTGGTGTGTCAGGCCAGGCAATCATCATAAATTTTATCCAGTGACTTTTCTTTACAAGTACAGTACAGTACTGTACCTTCAAACAGCTAGGTCATTCTGTATGGCTGATTTTTGTTATAATTCTTGTTCTCCTCTTCCCTGCTCATAAGCTTGTTCAATGCAGAGCAGGGTGGTAAAACTGAGTGAGCTAAACATTTTTCCTTGGGCTCATATCTGTAAGTTTACTGTTCTGGCTGCATTCTTTAACATCTTTATATCCTTTGACTTTGGGGAGGTTAATGTGTCATTGAGTTCTTCCCCATGTAGGGCTGGGTCCAACATGCAGGAGATTGAAATTTTTTGGCAAAGTTTCTTTTATTTATACAGTATAAGTTTCCAATTACAGGTACCTATGTCTTATGGCAATGTGTTGAGTGAACCCTTTTTAGCTAATTTGGTGGGGATTTCTCAATGTGTGGAGTCTTCTGACTTCCTCAGCTCCCCAACCTCTTTGAGAGGACAGGATTTTAGTACTTACTCCTGGTTGGTTGTTAGATGGTGGTGTGGTGGATTTATCATTTCATTATATTTGATATCTCATTTTTATAGTCCCAAGCAAACGGGTACCAGCAATTTATCAAATGCTGGCAACCTCATCCTATACTTTTGGTCATTGTAAATACTGAAGTGGGCATTTAACTTTAATACTAGTATAAATGTTATGTTATATTTCTTGTATTACTTAAATGTATTTATTTTCTAGGTTGAAGTTTCGAAAGAAGAATTGGAACGGATAATTCAAGAAACAAAGGGAAATATAAAGTTAGTATTTTATTCATTTATAAAATACAGTACCGGTGTTAGTTTTAAATTATTTAACATTAAAATCTACTTTTACTTGAACTTATTAACTTTTTCAACATTTTTGAACATTTCAGTACTCTAATGGGATCATGTTTATCTCTCAGTGGTGAAACATTTTTTATGCTCCTGCTTTTTTTCTTTCTAGCAGTTTGTTTTATTATGATGTAATGGTTCACCCCTGTAATTTAGCTTGGGGAGAAGGAAGTTAGAAGAGAGTAGGGTTACTGAGATCCCACTTGGCTAACTACTGACCCTCTCTAGCATCATCCCCTAACACTTACCTTGCTCCTGGGTACATATTGGCTGCTTGCTGAACAAGTGTTATCAATATATTTGAAGTTAATCTGTGATATGATGGTATTAGATATCATGAGACATCAAATGCCCATGTTAATCTTAGATATGATGGCATTAGATATCGTGGGACATCAGCAACATGCAGTATGTCTATGTCCAAATGCTGCTATAAATTATGAACTTCAAATTTGATGCAATCATTTGTCAAGCAAATTAACATTATTGGGGCTGTTGGCATGCTATTAGTTACAGTTTGATGTAGATGAGTGTGTGCTCCAAAGTATCATGCAGCAGCTTCCCCAAATTCAAGTGAACATATTTTTTTAAGATACTGATATACTGTACATTTTTATTTTTAGGAGGAAATAAACTAGCAATGTTTGGACTTTAACTTGGACTAAAATGTATTTGGCACCACGGTTATTTTCAGTGCTCACTAGATTGAGACACATTGTTTCAAAATTAGCTGTATCAGCGAGAGGTTATAGAGGCAAAAAATATAGGGGAGATGGCCAAGCATTTCATATACTCTTTTTCTAGACTTAAATAACCTGGTCCATCAGTAAACACAGGTGATAAACTAAGGGTGAGTTTGGGGGTTATCCATTGGTGCTAAATAGAATTTATATTTTCTTTACAGTTCTATTTATATACAGTTGACTTGTATGTTGTTAAACTACTTTTAATAATGAAATTGTTCATTCCGTCTCTATAGGTACTCTATTTACTGTGTATAACAAGTGTAAGTTCTTTAAGAACTGCACTTGGGAATAAAATAGTGTATTAATGTACTTGGACACCTTTACAAATATTTTCACAGAGATCTGGAAGAGGTGGAGGAGGATGATTATGAAGACATAGAGAAGGATGCAGTAGAGGAGGATGATGCAGTAAATGTAAAGGAGGAAAAAGAGAACAAAGAAGTACCAGTAACCAAGGAGGTAAAGGCAAAATCGGCAAAGACAAAAAAGAAGAAAAAGAAACAAGCAGAAGAAGAAGAAAAAGCAGACCTTGAAAATCGCTACAACATCAGTAGTTATGATGAGGAAAGGGAAGATGGTTAGTATTTTCAGATTGCTATATTTTGGCATTGATGCAAATTGAATCATTTATGAAAGGCTATCTCAATTTTTATTAAAACTGTGATGTCAAAAAAATAAAGCTTTGTTTAATGTGTTCTATATTTGTAATGTAGTAATATGATTTAAGATTAATTGCTTTTGTTACAACTGTTGCCGACTATTACTAATGTTCTTTTGTAAACGTGTTTCGTACTATATTCAAGGAACATGGTCTAGACATTACAGTCCATGGGTCTATACATTCCTGAGCTGTGTGCTGGGTTGATCCCTGGGACTTCTTCCTATGGCTTCCTGGGCATGGTGTCTGGTAGTTCCTGGGCATGGTGTCTGGTAGTGCCTGGGCATTGTGTCTGGTAGTGAATGGGCATTGTCTGGTAGTGAATGGACATGGTGACTGGTAATTCCTGGGAACTGTAACTGGTAGTTCCTGGGCATAGTGACTGGTAGTTCCTTGGCTACACCTCCTGGCCCTGAGGTTTCCCCTACTCCATGTTTTCATGGTTTCTGGGCTACACGATTGGTTGTTCCTGGGTAGTGCTAACAGTGGTTCTAAAGCTGTTTTTCTGGTGGTCCTGGACTATGTTTCTAGGAGTTCTCAGTATGCATCCCTGGTGGTTCATGGGCAGTGTCCCTGGTGGTTTTCCCTGGCAGTGTGTTCAGTGGTTGCTAGGCTCTCTCTTTGCATAATTTTTTTTCCTGGCTCTGTGGTTTTCCTTTCTCCATGGTTTGGAAATCCTTTGGTTTCCATACTGCACTAATGTAGTTTTTGTACTGCAAGACCCATTGATACCAGACTGTGCTTTTGGTGGTTTGCAAGCTGTGTTACCAGTAGTTCTGGGCTATGTTCTAGGGTTTTCTGGTATCCATCCTGGATGGTTTATGAGTTATGTGCCTGGTGGTTTCCCTGGCGGTGTCTTATAGTTCTTGGGCTGTGTACCTTGGTGCAAGGGTTATTTGCCCTGGCCCAGAGTTTTCCTTGCTCCATACCTTCGTGGTTCTGGGCTTGGGCTTAGCTGATTTTCCTTGGCTTCATGGGTTTTGGCCTTGTTGTCTTGCTAGCCTAATTGTGGCCTAGTTTCTTTGCCTGTGAACTCAGAAACTTGGCATTTCTTTGGCCCCAGCATATTGGCCAACTATGTGTGTGGTGGACTTTTGTTTTTTTTACCAGCTTCTTTGGGCTCCTTGCTCTGGTTTTCAGGTTTTTGTACGCAGCCTTTAGGCTCCAGGTCATGTAGCTTGTTTGCTCAGGACTAGTTTATCTGTGTACCCTTTGCTCAGAAGATGCCATGTCCTCTGCCTTCTGGGTGCCCTCTGTTTTCAAGCAGGTCTGGTTGTTGAGGCAGTGTTCTGTTCATTTTGAGTGGGCCCTCTGGCTTCAGATTCTGGGATATGGCCTCAGGTTGGTGGTTTCTGACTGGGGTTTCTGACTCTGGACCTGTCTGTAGTTTTCTAGGGCTCTGGACTTAGAAACCTACCCGGGTCCTTGAACCTAAAGCTTTTGGCCTCCATGCCCAGGTGTCTGATAGTTCTTGTTGGTTTCCTGGCATCCTTTTGGCCTTTTTGGTTTTGGCCAGCAGTAGTCAGTCTTCACTTACTTGCTGCTTAGGTTGCTTTGCTTGGTGTTATCTCCATAGCTCAGGACTGGGCTTGATGCATGTTTTGATGGGTCAACCAAATTGTCCCTCATCCATGCCATGCTTGTGTTGCATTCAATTGTTAGGCATGCTGCTGGTGCCCCTCTGCCTTGGGTCCTCATTTTCTGTAGTTCTTTTTTCTATGGAAAGGGGGGGGGGCATTGTGAGCTAGCTCGTGGGGACCCCTCCCAGAAATAAAGCATTGATTCTGGTGAGCTCTCAATATATCTCTTGGTCTCCACCCTTTTTCCTTCTTTCTCATAGGGTAGTGGTTTGATTCAGGCAGCTTGTGAGTAATGGGATAAGCTGTCTGGCTGGAGCCTTGAGTGACCTGGTCTGCCACCTTGTGACAGTTACATTAAGGTTAGGGTGCTTACCTTACAGCAATGATCATGTGCCGTGTTATCTCTTAAGTATCTAAAGAGATCAAGAGATGCTTGATTTGCTGCACGTCTGCTTTTGTTTTGTTTTTCTGATCCTCAAGCTCCTATCATCTTGTAGTAGAACCAGATTCTGGTCTTGGCTTTCAGTAGGTAAGACAAGTCTCAGAGGCCTGTTGAATCTTCCTAAGGCATGGCTGGACTAGCGCTTAGCTCAGGAAGCTACTGAAGGCATCATCCCATGCAAGAGCATTTCATTACATTCACCATTTAATTTGTATTACAGTATTCCTATTTATTTTTGAATAATTCTTTTATATGTTTCTATATTGGCTCTTTATTCTCTGCAGGAAGGTGTGACCTCTTGTAAACACTCTTGATGTTACAAATGCCTTCATTTGTACATATGAAGAAATACATTGGGCCCTGTACAAATGATAGATTTTTATAGGGCCCAATGAAACATTTGCCAAAGAATTACCCATGCTGGATTATTTGTGTTAGTGAAAGTTGATACTTTCTTAGAATGAGAAACAAACATTTGTAAAACTGGAATTTCTCTCATGCACATGCAAGTGAGTTAACCACTTTACTGCGCCAACTGAGTATTCTCGGTCAGTGGGAAACTGCGCCAACCGAGAAAATTCTTAGATTTTTCGGTACCAATTCTAAATGTGTACGAGGTTGGTTGTGTACGAAATGGACTCTTAGGACCTCCAGTGAGAGGCAGCCATCTTGGAAAAAATTCCCAGAATGCTCTAGGGCTGCTGGCTGGGTTAGTACTGAATGAGCAACCATGGGTGGCGCACGCGTCTCTGGCTCCCAAACACCTGTTCAACGCGGTGTTGAAAGATAACGTTCTGTCGGTGAAATTCAAACCTTATTGTTTGAAGAACATAAGGGTCGTAATATTGGTGAATATTATGACCCTTATGGGGTCAACATTAGGGGCAATAAGGACCTAACACAAAGGTCGGATGCAAGTGATACAGCACCTATGAGGACGATACAGCGAGTGTATCCATTTGTAGCTCTAAGCGTCACCCTTGCAATTCTGTGTTATCTACAATTTTAGATGATACATAGATGAATCGTTTTCTGCGTTCAGTGATGATGCATCTGATACAAATAGCATAGGTGAACAGTGTTAGTGGCTTCCATGGTGGTGTTTTCCATAGATATTTTCAAGAATACGTGAATATCTTCCTAACTGACGGACACTCTTTGAGGCTAGCTGAATCTCTTTCTGACTGACGGACACTCTTGAGGTAAGCTGAATTTCTTCCTGTGTGGGACCATACAAAGTGATCTTTTTAAGACTACCTTACAAATTGATCTTTTCCTATAATCTTTTCAATACTACGTTATGCTTTACAAGCTTGGCTACATACAACCTACAAGTACTAAAGCCAAGGGTGTACGTGAGTGCGTTATTTGCAAGCACACAGAATGAAGAAACAGGAAGTGAAAATTTATCTGTACCTGGTGGAGCCGGTCGGCCGAGCAGACAGCACACTGGAATTGTGATCCTGTGGTCCCGGGTTCGATCCCGAGCACCGGCGAGAAACAGTGGGCAGAGTTTCTTTCACCCTATGCCCCTGTTACCTAGCTGTAAAATAGGTACCTGGGTGTTAGTCAGCTGTCACAGGCTGCTTCCTGGGGGTGGAGGCCAGGTTGAGGACCGGGCCGCGGGGACACTAAAAGCCCCGAAATCATCTCAAGATAACCTCAAGATGCACTGAGAGCAAAGTCGCGCTGTGTACCATGGGCTACTTCGTTCATTATTACTCACTTCTGTACTACTGAGTGTGTAATACAGTGTGTTACTGTGTAAATAGTATGTGAAACTGTATATATTGTAATTTTAGTGAATTTTTAACAGGTAATATTGCAACAATAAACATTTATTGTGGACACATTACTGACACATGTATCACAGTTCCATGGAACATTATGAACGCTCTACTGTATACATATTGTAAAGGACACAAATATGCATCATATACGATAAAAAAAAAAATAAAACTGCATTGGAAATACATAAAACAAATAATTGAAAATATATTTGTGGCAACACCCGGTGCTTGAATGGCCCGCGCGACTGTGTCTGGGGGATTCACGCGCAGGTGACCAGGCCCTGGTGACATCACAGCGCACCTTGTCCATGTCCCCACAGCCAAAGGAAGTGGAATTTCGTATTTATTTTTACATAGACAAGTTCAGGGAAGGGAATTTATCATTTTACGAAGAAAAAATAATTTTTTGGAAACACTTTATTTCATGCGCACCAGGGAAATTTCACAATAAACTCGGCGCAGTAAGGTGGTTAAAGGGAAAAAGTTGCAACCAAGGGTACAAGAAAAACCAGGAATGGAAACTATTCAAGGTTGGCTAAAAGGTGAAGAAAATTGAGTAAACCAGTAACTGGATCCTGTGCATGAATGAAGAAGCCATTTTTGTAGATTACTCAATTTAACTCAATCATACTTTTCCAGATGTGACTGAAGGTAGCTGGTATACTACTTCTAATACTGTCTACGTTTTTATATTTTATAAATTTGTTAATGAACATTTCCTCTTAGATCAGTTGAGCCAGTTGCTCCAGCTTGGTCTACTGACTGTCCACGCAAGTAACGATGATGACCCGTATATTACAATTAAGGACAAAGAGGATCAAGACAGTGAGGATGGAGACCATGAAATCTTACCCACTGACAACCTCATTGCTGTTGGGCACGTTGAAGGAGATGCTGCCATCTTAGAAGTTTATGGTAAGCCAGGACAATAACTGCACATTTTTAAAGTAAATAAATTTGTATGTGTTGCTAGTCATAATTGCAAATCTACTGGTCTTTCATTCATAAAAATTAGTGCTTATAGTAATTACAGAATGTTTTCAGTATTGATCAGTCTTAAATTTCATCTGAGTATTAACCATCAAATACTGCAATACCATTGAACATTATCATTGGTTACAGGTTTTTGTACATTGGCTACAGGAGTTAATATAAATTCTGACTTGATCCTGAACCTCACACCTCCCCTTTTTTCCCTTTTTATAAGCACTAGCTCTGGATGTCTGGTTAATTTGAGAAAGTCTTTTCTGGCATAATATTTGCTACAAATATAGTCTTCTCTCAATTTTGTGTTTCTCTTCATTGTTGTTAGCTCTTTGTGCTCTACAACCTGTCCTCACTCTGTACACCTCAGTTTTGATGTACTCAACATCATCATCAAAATATCTTTGCTTTAGTGAGGGTAAAAGCACTGCACTGGTGATGCTTCCTTGAACTAATGAACATCTTCCTTTATTGGTTAGGCTGGCTGTCTGCTTGTTAAATCATGCAAACTGGTTACTGATTAACCCTAAAACAACTGTCAGAAATAATGCTGTTGCAGATCCATCTATATACACGTATTCCTCGTTGTTTAATTTCTGTAGGTGTGATATTCATCAGTTTTTGCATTCACTACCTCTTCCAGACACCATATTAGAACTTTGTTTTATCCAGTGGCCAAGTACAGTAAAAAGAAGTATTACTGTTTTTGGTTTCATTCACTTGGACTCTAGGAGACTTGAACCATGGACCCCATGCACGTGAGGCCAAAGCTCTATCGACTGGGCTATTGAGTAGTCTTAATAAGGAAAGATTTCGGAAGTGGCTACTGCTGTCAAGCTGGAATTTTCAACTTTTCTTGACTACTGTACTACTGAAGCTCGGAAATTAGTGATCTATGCCCTCGTCATATAAATTGTCATCCACACTTCCGTGGAAATATACATTTCATTCACTTGGGCTTTAGGAGAAACATCATTAAAAAGAGTCCAGATGAATGAACTGTTTATTTCCACGGAAGTGTGGATAACAATTTACTGTTACAGTGGGGCCTCGACTTACGATGGTAATCCGTTCCCAGAAACGGATCGTAAGTTGAAATATCGTAAGTCGAAGCAATTTTTCCCATAAGAAATAAAGGGAATTGAATTAATCCGTTCCCCACCCTCCAAAATATTAACTTACAAATACATTTTTCACTGAATATAATTTTGTTCTCTAACTACAATACAGTACATATGTTTATCTTACCTTTATGGAGGACTCTTGATGGGGTATGGAAGATGGTGATGAGGGGTGGAGGAGGAGAGGTGTTACTGTTTGTTTGAAAGGGGAGTCCCCTTCTATTGTAGCGAGTAGATTATCCCAATAATATACTCACTCCAAATGCATTGTTAATATTCCTGTCAACCTTTGGAGATGAATGAGGTGAGGCGTTGCCTGGGCAACACGGTGAGGTGTTGCCCGAGCATATAAGCAGCGGTGTAGCGAACATTGGCTAGTCTACTTTCAAGTGTGGTCTAGAACAGACACTTGCGAGATACTGTACCGACGCTCAGTGCGCTCAACTCACACCAAAGTATCACCGGTGTACTTCTGTATATTCTACCAAATATATATATAGTATCTTAGTGTCTGTGTTTATTTGTCACCATACTTTACGTAACAATAGAACCGTTACATTGGTGACCCAGTGAGTGAAAAAGAACACCTAGTCACAAACTAGATCTTCGCCATGGATTTATCTACCAGGTTTCCAGCATACAACGCAGATGAGCCAGAATTTTGGTTCATGCAGATGGAGGCTATTTTCGACCTTCACGGAATTCCGACTGAGAAAGCCCGATATGCCTGTACCCTGCCAACACTTACCTCGGAGGCTATGCACACTGCCTCCGCTGTCATCAACGCGCCATCACCGGACACCAGGACGTACACTGCATTGAAGGCCGCTCTTCTACAGGCAGCAATGAAACGCCGCATTCAACAAAGGGACCAACTCCTCACTGACAAAAGATTAGCAGACAAAACACCAGCTCAGCTTCTGCGGCATATTCAGTATGTGATGCATACTGCAACTGGCCCAGCCCCAGCGAGATTGTGAGATCACTGTGGATACAACTCTGTCCAAAACACATTCAACCGGCCCTATTCAGTATGGCTGACGACACCCCATTAGCCCAGCTGGCTACACTGGCAGACCGGCTTCATACGACGTCTAATAACACTATATTGTCCCACCTCAGTGATACACAGCAGACTACAGACACCCAGCAACTCGACGTCCTCCAGAACCAGCGTTTCGTCCACCCAGGGAAAACGTACCATGCGAATCCAGTATCAGTCTCTAGGCGACAGCGAGAACGTCGGGGAAAGCTTTGTTCTTACCACCAGAAGTTCGGACACCAAGCCCGCAACTGTAGGGCTCCTTGTTCCTGGTCGGGAAACTACTTCGGCGGGGACTGTTAACGGCCAGTACCCCACCATTTCAAACACTACACTGCTCTACATATCTGACGTCATAACCAAACGCCGTTTCCTCGTTGACACAGGTGCAGCAGCTAGCGTGTTGCCTCCCCCACTAGTCAAACCAACCCGTACTCCTGGTTTGGACTTACGAGCCGCCAATGGTACGTCCGTCCGTACATATGGGACCCGCGCCCTGGTTCTCGAGTTCGCCTCTCTGGGTCGCTTTATGTGGACTTTCCTCATAGCGGATGTGGAACAACCCATTCTTGGATGGGATTTCCTGCAACACCATCGACTTATGGTGGATCCCGCAGGTGCAGTACTTCGAGCCTCTCCTAGTACCTCTACACAAGTTAACATCGTCACCCCAGTTGCATCTACGGAACTTCAAGCACTCCTGGGTGAATTCAAAGATGTGACCCAACCCGCCAGCCCTCGACCAGAGGTGCAACATACGATTACGCATCACATTACTACAACGGGAGCACCTACCTTCGCCAGACCACGCCGCCTGGCACCGGAACGACTGGCGGTAGCACGTGCTGAATTCAATAAGCTACAGGAGGCGGGAATAATCCACCCTTCGAACAGTCCATGGGCTTCACCTCTCCATATGGTCCCGAAAACAGCCCCAGGGGAATGGCGCCCTTGCGGAGACTACAGGGCTCTCAACGTTCGCACTCTGCCGGATCGCTACCCAATACCACACATCCAGGATTTCTCACAGGGATTGAGCAACGCAACCGTTTTTTCGAAAATTGACCTTGTGCGGGCATTTCACCAGATCCCTGTGGAACCGGCAGACATTTCGAAAACAGCGATCACAACACCTTTTGGACTGTTTGAATTCGTCCGGATGCCTTTTGGTCTACGGAATGCAGCCCAGACATTCCAACGCTTCATCGACCAAGTAGTTAAGGACCTTCCTTTTTGCTACGCCTACATTGACGATCTGCTGGTGGCCAGTACATCACCAACAGAACATCTGCTACACCTCCGACTCCTTCTCACCCGTCTGCGCAACTTCGGCTTGCAGCTCAACTCCGAGAAGTGTATTTTCCATGTTCCAGAGCTGGATTTCTTGGGACACCGTGTGTCAGCAGCAGGGGTCCAACCACTAGAGAAGAAAATCGAGGCAATCAAGGAATTCCCGCGCCCATCTACTCCAAAGAAGTTGCAAGAATTTCTTGGTGTAGTGAATTTTTATCATCGATTCATCCCACATTGTTTGGACATCTTGCGACACTTATACGACCTCTTACGAGGTCGGAAACTCACGTCCCGTCTTCCGTTGGAGTGGACTCCCCAGGCAGAGACAGCATTCACCGACATAAAACACAAGCTGGTGGAATTCACCTTGCTCGCACACCCAGTGTCTGACGCTCCCACCAATCTATCTACCGACGCTTCAAACACAGCAATTGGTGCTGTACTACAACAGCTCGTTGAAGGAGAATGGCGCCCAATTGGCGCCTTTTCAGCGCGCCTGTCACCCACTGAAGAGAAGTACAGCACTTTTGATAGGGAACTGCTCGCCATCTACTCAGCCATACAACATTTCCGGCACTTTCTCGAGGGGCGGAACTTCCACATCCTCACAGACCACAAACCTCTCACTTATGCGCTGGCGGCCAAGGGTGATGCTCACTCTCCTCGAGTAGCCAACCACCTGGGATTTATTTCCCAATTTACCTCGGATATCCGTCATGTCAAAGGAACTAATAATGTCATAGCCGATGCACTGTCTCGACCCACCATAAACCACGTCGTGACAAACCCAGCTCAGGTGGACTATTGTGTAATCAGTAAGGCCCAACGGGAAGACCCTGATCTGCAGCGATTACGAACATCTGACACAGCTCTCCGGTTCATCGAGATTCCCATGGAAGGTGGCGGAAGGATAATCTGTGACACCTCACGGACGGGAGCACTTAGGCCCTACATTCCTGCCCAGTTTCGCTGGAAAACGTTCTCAGTATTTCACTCCCTAGCACACCCAGGAGTACGTGCTTCCCAGAAACTACTAACGGAGCGTGTTGTATGGCCAGGAATCAATGCCGATGTTCGACGATGGACTCGCTCATGTCTCCAGTGCCAGCGAGCGAAAACACAGTCACACAAAGAGCCCTCTTCAACAGTTTCCGTTACCTTCTGACCGTTTCGAAGTGGTGCATGTAGACATCGTTGGACCATTACCGTCGGCAAGAGGATATTCTTATCTACTCACCTGCATCGATCGATTCTCCAGATGGCCGGAAGCAATCCCATTAATCAACATTTCAGCTGAGTCAGTGGTCCAGGCTTTCCTCTCTGGATGGGTCGCCCGTTTTGGCAGCCCCTCTGTCATCATCACCGACCAAGGACGACAGTTCGAATCATATCTATGGAAGGAACTTATGGAATTCCTCGGCACCACACATAACCGAACCACAGCATACCACCCTGAGTCGAACGGAATGGTAGAA